GGGGGCGTCAAGGGAGTTTATCTGAAGCACCTACACGCGAGTTTTGCTACCGGAGCAGCATCGAAGTATTTTTATTTATTTTTTGAAAATATTGGTAAACAACTAATTAATTAAATATTCTCACGTTTTTGAAGTTTTATCTGTCAATGTCATATCGATATATAGTACTAAATCGATCTAGTGAATCGATATTTCACCCTAGAGAATCAAGATCAAATCTTTTCTGTTTTGTTAAGATTTACAAAATTATTTATAATTAGTTGAAAGTACCCCAACTCGTAAAGAATGACAGTTTTTCAATTTAATCATTCAATGTTATCTGAAACTTTAAAGAACTTGGGCTTAGTGAAATATTGTTAATAATTCTAAAATAATTACTTCTTGTCTGATATGTGATGTATTATTTATTTCTATTTAAATAAGTAGTGCCACAAAAATATTATGAGGGGAAACAATTGCATGCTAATATTTATAATTTTAAAAGACATTAAAACTATTTAGTGTTAGAAAGATTGAAATAAATAGAACAATAATAAATATTATTAATATTTAGAGTAGACACTGTAAAACTATAGTTCATTTTGTTAGTTGATAAAAAATAACTTTTTTTCAGGTGGATCGTTTAGAACGAGTATGCAGTCCTTGCTGGCTGAGGGCTTCCAGAGCTGTATGGAGACAGAGACAACAAAATGAGAACAGGGATATTGAGCTACAATCCATGAATATAGAAGACATCGGTAACATCCCACAACCACCCCCTATACCTGCACTTGTAACCCCTGCCATTTCCAGAGCGGCATCAACAATTACTATGGCTAATTATAAGCGTGCTGCTTCTACTTCCCGTCACTGTATTTTTAAGTCATGTAATCATTCATCTAGATTTTTAATACCTAAACTACTTAAAGAGAGATTGCTGATAGATCACTCATTTTATGTGCCACTGTGCGCTCGTATTTGTGAATACCATTTAAATGAACCCCACAATGATTGGAATAATTTATTCACGAGTAGTAACTGTTCAGATTTTACTGCATCTCAGATAGACAACCTTTGTTCCTTACTTAAAAGTAGTGTTACTCAAAATTATAATATTTTAAATATCATTGAACATAATTCAATATTATGCAAATATTGGTTAGGATTTACCAAATACCAATTTGAACAGTTACTAGTTGAAATTCCATCTATCAGTGAAAGAGTTAAATCACCTAAAAGAAGTCTAGCTATGTTCTTAGTGAAACTTCGTACAGGTGATAGCAATGAACGCATAGCTTCTCTATTTAATGTAGCTTCATCGACTGTGTTCAATCACTTAAATATTGTAAGTCAGTGCTTTGAAGAGCAATTCATCCAACTGCATTTAGGGACAAATACCTTATGCATTCAACAAGTTGCTCAATATAACTTGACAATACCAAATGGCTTGTTTGGTAATCCAGATATGGATCCTGAATTTATGCCAGCCATAGTAATATGTGATGGTACATACATTTATGTGCAAAAAAGTAGTAATTACTTATACCAGAAGCAAACATATAGTTTACATAAGTATCGTAACTTAGTTAAGCCATTTTTAATAGTGTGCTGTAATGGTTATATCCTTGATGTTTTTGGACCATATCCTGCAACAGAATCAGATGCTTCTATAATTCTTAGACTGTTCAACGATAGTAGTCCACTGCGAACCTATTTTAGAGAAAACGATGTATTTATTCTTGATAGAGGTTTTAGGGATGCAATTCCATTCTTGCAGCAATGTGGTTATAAGGCTTACATGCCTGAATCTAAACAAGCTGGTGAAATACAATTATCAACCATTGCTGCCAACAAGTCCAGATGTGTAACTTTGTGCAGGTGGGTGATTGAAATTGTAAATGGGAGATTTAAACGGGACTTCAAATTATTTCGTCAGGAATATTTTAATACTGCATCTACTCATCTCATGCTATACTTTAAAATTGCAGCTGCATTAATAAATCGATTTCATACGTTGATTCGTAATAATTTTCATGCTGTAGAGATATTGGCAATTGCTCAAGCCAAACTAAACACTCCAAATAATTTAGCCTCCTACGTAGAAATGCACAATTTAAATAGAGTGAGAGTGCGATTTGCCAGCATTAATGGTAATCTTCCAGAGCTGGATAGTTTTCCTCAACTGACATTCCAGGATCTCATTCTGTTTAGTCTAGGAATTTATCAAATTAAACAAGCTCGTAGTTATTACGGGGAGCATGTCAGGGCTTCTGGAGAATATAAAATCGAGGTATACCTGCAATCTGTCCATGATTTTGGTCCAAATAGTTATCTATTGCGAGGTAGGATACAATCAAGGCACACTAGTAAAAAAACTTATTACACTTATATACTAGTTGACACCAACCCATCAATTGCTAACACTAGGGCTGCTCTTACTGGGTACTGTTGCAACTGTTTGGTAGGCAGACGCACTGTTGGCTGCTGTGCACATGTCATGTCTGTTGTCTGGTTTCTATCTTGGGCACGGCATCGAGATGAGGTTGAACCACCTGCATCTTTTTTAGATGATATATTACTTTCAAGTAATGATATTGAAAATGATGAATGATGATTATTAATCTTAATGCGTATTAATATTGTAATATAAATGATCATTTTTGCTATAGTTGCTTCACTTGTGGCAACCAAAGTTTTTTGTGGTATTCTATAGGAAGATGCTGCTCCCCATCTCCTAGTATTTTTATTTTATTCTGTCGACTTTAACGACACCATACGGGACGGAACGTGATGGCAATTCACGGAAGGCCTCTGTAATATTTTTACATTATATCTTTAATTTAGGAGCCATATGTTCGGCAGTGGACTGTTGTAATGATGATGAATAATGATGACTAAAAATTGTAATTTTTGTTGCTTATTTGAACTATTTCTATTTTACTGTGTGCTTTATTATCTGTTATATATTATGTTATATGTGTAATTTATAAATAAACGCCGAGCAAAGTTGAATTTATTGCTTTGGCACCCTTTTTTATCTCTTTTAATTGACAATATCCTTCTGATTTCTAATAATATCGTAAACGGGCGAGACATTATATTTTAATGATGTATGGGATTTATACTTGCTAATAGATGAATACTTTAATGAACAAAGGGCCGGCACTGCACCTGTCTGCTGTGTTATTTTTAAAAGAGGACTCATAAAACACTGACGATTTTAACCATAATTAATGCAGTGATTATACATGATCTTTGGGACTTATTACATATCAATATCGTATCATAAATAGAAATGTTACCATCAAGTTATTTTGAAAAAATCTTTTAATATGATCTTTTGATATGAAAACACGAAAAATGTTTCTACCTATGTCCGTTAGAAACCATCCAAGCGATTTTGATGATATGTTTATGTGTGTTTGAACGGGTCTCTATATGATTCATATTCACATATGGACTCGGTAGGTGGCGCTGTTGTCGAAATCCAGAAATCACCTGTGCGAAGTCGGGGCGGATCGCTAATAATAAATACAATTAAACTATACCTGTGTGTTTGTTATCCTGGCACAAACAGTTCAAAACATCTTACTTCCTCACAATTTATCAGTGTGTAATAACAGATAAGCATGATATTACCTAGTCATTTTGGTATTTTAGAACCCAGTCATTTTAAGATGTATAATTAGGTATTTAATAATCAACCAAAGCATATTAAAAAAAGTCTTGACACCGGGCCTGTCTGTCTGTCTGCATAAATAGATCTGAATTATATGTCTGAATTATATAGACTATGTTGGAAATGATGATTTACCATCTATAAATACGGTTGCATTATCAACTTGTTTTTTACACAGTCAGTTTAAAACATCTTTCTTACTATATAACGTGTGTTGGTAATATTGTAAATATAAATGGATATATTATACCTTAGTCATCTTGAATTTATTCATATTATTTTAACGGTAATTGGGAAGTACACTCACAATCAATATATGTAAAAAATTGTATCCATACCACATTTGTACACAGACAGGCACTATATTTTGCCGTAACTACTAAAAATATTGAAGTACCTGAAAATGCTGAATGTAACCTACAACTTGGTTTTATATGAACTATTATTCAACAGTGCACTATTTTAACTTAAAATACCGGTAAAAACCACTATAAATAGCTTTTAGTTTATTTATAGGTTATTTTAAAATTCATATTTTAATTGTCAATTTCTCGATTTTCCGTCTAGATGTGGTAAAACTAATATTACTTTTGTAAACTATAAATTATAAGGAATAAATCGACATCCATTTCATTGCGTGACGCGAAAATTTGTGGTGGGCCCATTCTCCATACAAAAATTGATTGTCTCCTTTGGTCTAGAAAGCATTAGTATTATTTTTCCAATTATTGTAAGTCATAGTGTAGGATTATACTGTTACTGTCTAATAAAGTCTACTGAACATGGGTCTCCCCCATAGATTGCCTCACAGGTGCATTTAGTTTATTTTTTATTACTTCCCACTGTGACAACTCCAGCAATTATATTATTTATGTCGGTTTTTCCGACATCAGACGTGATGACTGCCTGTATGTTGTTCTTAGGCTTTGGTTACATAGTAACTGTTAGTTAATCTGTGATGTAGGGTATCTCGGGGAGAGCTATGCTCGAGGTTTCTCTGCGTGATAGACTTCAAAATGAGGATATACGCAGTAAAACCAGAGCAATTAACATAGACAAACGGATTAGTAAGCTGAAGTGCCAATGGGGCGGCTATATAGCTCGAAGACCGACAACCGGTGGGGAAAAAAGGTTCTCGAGTGGCAGTCTCGGGCCGGTAACGCAGAAGAGTAGGACGGTCCCACAGTAGATGGAGTGTCAAACTGGTAAAGCATGCAGGATGACATGTGGATGGATGCAGGTGTCTCAGGACCGTGCTTTATGGCATTCCTTGGAGCAGGCTTATAATCAGCAGTGGACTTGTGAAGGACTCTAATAAATGAATAAAAGTAGGTTGTCTCACCCGAGGTGCGCCCTGTTCGTTCTTGGATCGTCTCGGCTTGACAAGCAGAGCAGGCGGTGCGTGCGCCACTTCGCCGAACTGCACGCGCTCGTACTGAACCTCTCCCCCACCTTCGCGCTCCTGCACACAACATATACAAGAGAATAGAAAACAAGCAATTCTTTGTAAATCAATAGATCATTTTCATTTTTTTTTTCATTTTTGTCGCCTCTTACGACACCCACAGGACGATATTGAGCTGTGGCTATGCTTACAACAACACTACATGACGGTGCGGTTTGATTAATTAGTATACATTTAATTATCTCTTTACTTTCCTTTTTTTAAAAACCTTACCCCCACACTAGGATTTTCTCCAGTATCGTGGAAGTAATTTACAAACATTAATGGACAAGGACAAACAGACCCAGAACAATTATTCGTAGGCCATATAAACGCTTGTTCCGTGCGGGATTCAAAGGGGACAATCATTTTTGGGCCCACTAAAAATATTAACGTCCACTAATGGTATTACATCAAAAAAAAGACACCAAATTATAATAGTAAATGGCCTACAGATTTTTCGAAAATGTAAACGGAATCAAGAAATACGAAAAAAAATTAGTTGTTTTGATATTCGTGTTCTGATTAGTGTAATATGGGTAAAATGCGTGTACCTAATTAGTCATTTTGCAGCTTGTATAAAAAGAAAACTATTTTTTCACAAAGCTGACTTAAAAAAAGATACCACTAAGAACTTTATGTTTAATTTCTAAAAATTTTAGCTAATATCACGTTATAACATAGTTCTAAATGACTGTGAACCAAAACGTTATTTTATCATTGACTTCCGGTAATTCCCAGCGGCCGGCGGCCGGGTACGGCGGGGCGGGGCGGCGGGGGATTACCTACGTCTTTAATCTTAACGGCATTGACGTTCGTTACGCTACTGTTTTTTTGTATTTATATGCGATTTTAAGAAAATGGAATCTGCTAGATCAGCATACAATGAAAATAGAAGTGTATGTTGCAATTGTGGAGTCAGGTTTCAACGCAGTGTGCGAAGACAATTACTGGCCGAGACAACTGCTGATGTGCGCCAACTTTTATCTGTGTGGATTTCTCATGAGGTAGGTATAATATTATCTCATGGAAAGCTAATCACTGCACTATACAATCTATCTACTTACATATTATCTAGATTTAAACTTTTATGAGAAATATATATTATTTTTGTTACTCTCGATTTTATTCCAACAATATTACTATACTGCGGAAACGAAAATTATATATTTTCTTTATTAATGTATTACTTAATATTTTTATTTTTGTTGAATAATATGGGATATGGTACGATTTTTTAGAAATAATACGAAAGAAAACGATCCACAGACTCCAGGCACACATAACGATCTATACATGATTAAGTACTTAATTATTTTAAGTTTTTAAAAGTAATAATAAATATCCCTTCATATTATTAATAAATTCATACCTTCTATAGCTATAATTTTAATCTTTCGTTATATTAAATTGATAAATGATATATTATATTGATTGAATTATTTTATATTTTGACACAAGATGACACTGCATTCTTTCCTGCTATTTACCAACTTACAGGCATAGTTCTTTGCATTGACTCCATTGACTGGCATTGACTGTAAAAATATAATATGGCATAAACTTGTTTGTTTAAATTGATGTAAACTGTGTTCGTGTTAAAGTAAAAGTTTAAAAATGAAAATTCACGTAGTTTTACTGCTTACAAGTGGATTAGTATGTTAATGTCTAATTGATGCAAAAAATGTTTAACCTAAGGGTTATATCATGCACGTAAGTCAAATATTAAATACCTATATCACATTTATGTATATAATTTGCCAATGACATTCGAAAATGCAAACTGACGAGTAAAAGTCCATGTGAGTAATATAAAAGTTTATTTTTTCCTCCTAGAATTTTGTAAAATCTATAACTTATACTGAATTAACCTTTAACAAATGATAAACACAGGTCTTACTAATGTGTTAAATGTTAAAGTATTGAAGTTTTATGTTATTAGTGAAATCTAATTTAAATAATAGATAAAATAAAGTCACACAATATACACAAAAGAAGTTTTTGTGGCATTGTATGATGTATCACATGTTATGTGTGTCTAATTATCTTTTGTCAGTCAATCATAAATCAAAGTCGAAAAAGTATAGGTATATATGTGTCAATATTTATTCTAAGGATAAAATATTATGTAAATAGAAAAGTAAGTTATTTTGTGCAATGAAAAATATTTCAATCCACTGTAATATTACCGTTACAGCCAATTAAACTCCACTGCCGAACATAGGCCTCCCCCATATATTACTAATATTACACAACTCCATAATACTCTAATATTATAAAGTTTATTTATCACTATATGATATACCTGAAATACTGTAAATATTGTAAAATCATAATATATTAATCGATATTTGTCTTTTGGATTTCCAATTTTTTTTTAATTGAAAATGTATTGTATTTCAAATAATATAGGGTTCCACATCAAACATTCACTTTCATGCCAACTTCGCTTCCCTCCTCAAAATGTACATTTATCTGAACTTAATATTTATTTACTCTTTTATTTTTAATTCCTGATTTTTTCAGTTACACCCACTTGATGCAGTTTGTTGTAACTGCCTAAGAATATTGCAAGAAAGTGTTGCATCAGCTCACTCCATTAGAAGATTTGGGTACAGGAATATTTGTATTCCATGTGGATCTTCAATGTTAAGAGCACACCGTAGACGGATTGTGCCTATTAACTCTGAAGAAAGAGATATTATTTTGCAGTGGATACCATCACACCAGGTACTTACCTTATTTTAAAAGGCTGTAAATGGTCCCCTGCCTCAAATAGGCAGCCCAGAGGATTTGCCACAATCGCTTTGGTACACAGATTGATGTTTGTAAAATCAGACACCTTGCATACAATTTGGTCTGATATTTATGCTCATTCAACATGGCAGTTCACTAACAGGTTATCTTTAAATTTACAGTCTACCAAAAGTCTACTGCTGAACATAGATTGTCTTATGGGGGGATATTTGCCATTAATAACCAATTTTTTTTATTTTTAGTTATTAGATGAACGATACTTCTTCCTTATCTTACACCCATATTTGTATGCTTTTGTACTTATTATACAAGTAATATTTTTTAACCTTAAAAGACATTAGTATAAATAAAACGGGTTGGGTTTACAATTCGGTCGCCTCAATTTGAAGATTCTGTTACTGTGGGGGGCGTCAAGGGAGTTTATCTGAAGCACCTACACGCGAGTTTTGCTACCGGAGCAGCATCGAAGTATTTTTATTTATTTTTTGAAAATATTGGTAAACAACTAATTAATTAAATATTCTCACGTTTTTTGAAGTTTTATCTGTCAATGTCATATCGATATATAGTACTAAATCGATCTAGTGAATCGATATTTCACCCTAGAGAATCAAGATCAAATCTTTTCTGTTTTGTTAAGATTTACAAAATTATTTATAATTAGTTGAAAGTACCCCAACTCGTAAAGAATGACAGTTTTTCAATTTAATCATTCAATGTTATCTGAAACTTTAAAGAACTTGGGCTTAGTGAAATATTGTTAATAATTCTAAAATAATTACTTCTTGTCTGATATGTGATGTATTATTTATTTCTATTTAAATAAGTAGTGCCACAAAAAATATTATGAGGGGAAACAATTGCATGCTAATATTTATAATTTTAAAAGACATTAAAACTATTTAGTGTTAGAAAGATTGAAATAAATAGAACAATAATAAATATTATTAATATTTAGAGTAGACACTGTAAAACTATAGTTCATTTGTTAGTTGATAAAAAATAACTTTTTTCAGGTGGATCGTTTAGAACGAGTATGCAGTCCTTGCTGGCTGAGGGCTTCCAGAGCTGTATGGAGACAGAGACAACAAAATGAGAACAGGGATATTGAGCTACAATCCATGAATATAGAAGACATCGGTAACATCCCACAACCACCCCCTATACCTGCACTTGTAACCCCTGCCATTTCCAGAGCGGCATCAACAATTACTATGGCTAATTATAAGCGTGCTGCTTCTACTTCCCGTCACTGTATTTTTAAGTCATGTAATCATTCATCTAGATTTTTAATACCTAAACTACTTAAAGAGAGATTGCTGATAGATCACTCATTTTATGTGCCACTGTGCGCTCGTATTTGTGAATACCATTTAAATGAACCCCACAATGATTGGAATAATTTATTCACGAGTAGTAACTGTTCAGATTTTACTGCATCTCAGATAGACAACCTTTGTTCCTTACTTAAAAGTAGTGTTACTCAAAATTATAATATTTTAAATATCATTGAACATAATTCAATATTATGCAAATATTGGTTAGGATTTACCAAATACCAATTTGAACAGTTACTAGTTGAAATTCCATCTATCAGTGAAAGAGTTAAATCACCTAAAAGAAGTCTAGCTATGTTCTTAGTGAAACTTCGTACAGGTGATAGCAATGAACGCATAGCTTCTCTATTTAATGTAGCTTCATCGACTGTGTTCAATCACTTAAATATTGTAAGTCAGTGCTTTGAAGAGCAATTCATCCAACTGCATTTAGGGACAAATACCTTATGCATTCAACAAGTTGCTCAATATAACTTGACAATACCAAATGGCTTGTTTGGTAATCCAGATATGGATCCTGAATTTATGCCAGCCATAGTAATATGTGATGGTACATACATTTATGTGCAAAAAAGTAGTAATTACTTATACCAGAAGCAAACATATAGTTTACATAAGTATCGTAACTTAGTTAAGCCATTTTTAATAGTGTGCTGTAATGGTTATATCCTTGATGTTTTTGGACCATATCCTGCAACAGAATCAGATGCTTCTATAATTCTTAGACTGTTCAACGATAGTAGTCCACTGCGAACCTATTTTAGAGAAAACGATGTATTTATTCTTGATAGAGGTTTTAGGGATGCAATTCCATTCTTGCAGCAATGTGGTTATAAGGCTTACATGCCTGAATCTAAACAAGCTGGTGAAATACAATTATCAACCATTGCTGCCAACAAGTCCAGATGTGTAACTTTGTGCAGGTGGGTGATTGAAATTGTAAATGGGAGATTTAAACGGGACTTCAAATTATTTCGTCAGGAATATTTTAATACTGCATCTACTCATCTCATGCTATACTTTAAAATTGCAGCTGCATTAATAAATCGATTTCATACGTTGATTCGTAATAATTTTCATGCTGTAGAGATATTGGCAATTGCTCAAGCCAAACTAAACACTCCAAATAATTTAGCCTCCTACGTAGAAATGCACAATTTAAATAGAGTGAGAGTGCGATTTGCCAGCATTAATGGTAATCTTCCAGAGCTGGATAGTTTTCCTCAACTGACATTCCAGGATCTCATTCTGTTTAGTCTAGGAATTTATCAAATTAAACAAGCTCGTAGTTATTACGGGGAGCATGTCAGGGCTTCTGGAGAATATAAAATCGAGGTATACCTGCAATCTGTCCATGATTTTGGTCCAAATAGTTATCTATTGCGAGGTAGGATACAATCAAGGCACACTAGTAAAAAAACTTATTACACTTATATACTAGTTGACACCAACCCATCAATTGCTAACACTAGGGCTGCTCTTACTGGGTACTGTTGCAACTGTTTGGTAGGCAGACGCACTGTTGGCTGCTGTGCACATGTCATGTCTGTTGTCTGGTTTCTATCTTGGGCACGGCATCGAGATGAGGTTGAACCACCTGCATCTTTTTTTAGATGATATATTACTTTCAAGTAATGATATTGAAAATGATGAATGATGATTATTAATCTTAATGCGTATTAATATTGTAATATAAATGATCATTTTTGCTATAGTTGCTTCACTTGTGGCAACCAAAGTTTTTTGTGGTATTCTATAGGAAGATGCTGCTCCCCATCTCCTAGTATTTTTATTTTATTCTGTCGACTTTAACGACACCATACGGGACGGAACGTGATGGCAATTCACGGAAGGCCTCTGTAATATTTTACATTATATCTTTAATTTAGGAGCCATATGTTCGGCAGTGGACTGTTGTAATGATGATGAATAATGATGACTAAAAATTGTAATTTTTGTTGCTTATTTGAACTATTTCTATTTTACTGTGTGCTTTATTATCTGTTATATATTATGTTATATGTGTAATTTATAAATAAACGCCGAGCAAAGTTGAATTTATTGCTTTGGCACCCTTTTTTTATCTCTTTTAATTGACAATATCCTTCTGATTTCTAATAATATCGTAAACGGGCGAGACATTATATTTTAATGATGTATGGGATTTATACTTGCTAATAGATGAATACTTTAATGAACAAAGGGCCGGCACTGCACCTGTCTGCTGTGTTATTTTTAAAAGAGGACTCATAAAACACTGACGATTTTAACCATAATTAATGCAGTGATTATACATGATCTTTGGGACTTATTACATATCAATATCGTATCATAAATAGAAATGTTACCATCAAGTTATTTTGAAAAAATCTTTTAATATGATCTTTTGATATGAAAACACGAAAAATGTTTCTACCTATGTCCGTTAGAAACCATCCAAGCGATTTTGATGATATGTTTATGTGTGTTTGAACGGGTCTCTATATGATTCATATTCACATATGGACTCGGTAGGTGGCGCTGTTGTCGAAATCCAGAAATCACCTGTGCGAAGTCGGGGCGGATCGCTAATAATAAATACAATTAAACTATACCTGTGTGTTTGTTATCCTGGCACAAACAGTTCAAAACATCTTACTTCCTCACAATTTATCAGTGTGTAATAACAGATAAGCATGATATTACCTAGTCATTTTGGTATTTTAGAACCCAGTCATTTTAAGATGTATAATTAGGTATTTAATAATCAACCAAAGCATATTAAAAAAAGTCTTGACACCGGGCCTGTCTGTCTGTCTGCATAAATAGATCTGAATTATATGTCTGAATTATATAGACTATGTTGGAAATGATGATTTACCATCTATAAATACGGTTGCATTATAACTTGTTTTTTACACAGTCAGTTTAAAACATCTTTCTTACTATATAACGTGTGTTGGTAATATTGTAAATATAAATGGATATATTATACCTTAGTCATCTTGAATTTATTCATATTATTTTAACGGTAATTGGGAAGTACACTCACAATCAATATATGTAAAAAATTGTATCCATACCACATTTGTACACAGACAGGCACTATATTTTGCCGTAACTACTAAAAATATTGAAGTACCTGAAAATGCTGAATGTACCTACAACTTGGTTTTATATGAACTATTATTCAACAGTGCACTATTTTAACTTAAAATACCGGTAAAAACCACTATAAATAGCTTTTAGTTTATTTATAGGTTATTTTAAAATTCATATTTTAATTGTCAATTTCTCGATTTTCCGTCTAGATGTGGTAAAACTAATATTACTTTTGTAAACTATAAATTATAAGGAATAAATCGACATCCATTTCATTGCGTGACGCGAAAATTTGTGGTGGGCCCATTCTCCATACAAAAATTGATTGTCTCCTTTGGTCTAGAAAGCATTAGTATTATTTTTCCAATTATTGTAAGTCATAGTGTAGGATTATACTGTTACTGTCTAATAAAGTCTACTGAACATGGGTCTCCCCCATATAGATTGCCTCACAGGTGCATTTAGTTTATTTTTTATTACTTCCCACTGTGACAACTCCAGCAATTATATTATTTATGTCGGTTTTTCCGACATCAGACGTGATGACTGCCTGTATGTTGTTCTTAGGCTTTGGTTACATAGTAACTGTTAGTTAATCTGTGATGTAGGGTATCTCGGGAGAGCTATGCTCGAGGTTTCTCTGCGTGATAGACTTCAAAATGAGGATATACGCAGTAAAACCAGAGCAATTAACATAGACAAACGGATTAGTAAGCTGAAGTGCCAATGGGGCGGCTATATAGCTCGAAGACCGACAACCGGTGGGGAAAAAAGGTTCTCGAGTGGCAGTCTCGGGCCGGTAGGCGAAGAGTAGGACGGTCCCACAGTAGATGGAGTGTCAAACTGGTAAAGCATGCAGGATGACATGTGGATGGATGCAGGTGTCTCAGGACCGTGCTTTATGGCATTCCTTGGAGCAGGCTTATAATCAGCAGTGGACTTGTGAAGGACTCTAATAAATGAATAAAAGTAGGTTGTCTCACCCGAGGTGCGCCCTGTTCGTTCTTGGATCGTCTCGGCTTGACAAGCAGAGCAGGCGGTGCGTGCGCCACTTCGCCGAACTGCACGCGCTCGTACTGAACCTCTCCCCCACCTTCGCGCTCCTGCACACAACATATACAAGAGAATAGAAAACAAGCAATTCTTTGTAAATCAATAGATCATTTTCATTTTTTTTTTCATTTTTGTCGCCTCTTACGACACCCACAGGACGATATTGAGCTGTGGCTATGTTTACAACAACACTACATGACGGTGCGGTTTGATTAATTAGTATACATTTAATTATCTCTTTACTTTCCTTTTTTTAAAAACCTTACCCCCACACTAGGATTTTCTCCAGTATCGTGGAAGTAATTTACAAACATTAATGGACAAGGACAAACAGACCCAGAACAATTATTCGTAGGCCATATAAACGCTTGTTCCGTGCGGGATTCAAAGGGGACAATCATTTTTGGGCCCACTAAAAATATTAACGTCCACTAATGGTATTACATCAAAAAAAAGACACCAAATTATAATAGTAAATGGCCTACAGATTTTTCGAAAATGTAAACGGAATCAAGAAATACGAAAAAAAATTAGTTGTTTTGATATTCGTGTTCTGATTAGTGTAATATGGGTAAAATGCGTGTACCTAATTAGTCATTTTGCAGCTTGTATAAAAAGAAAACTATTTTTTCACAAAGCTGACTTAAAAAAAGATACCACTAAGAACTTTATGTTTAATTTCTAAAAATTTTAGCTAATATCACGTTATAACATAGTTCTAAATGACTGTGAACCAAAACGTTATTTTATCATTGACTTCCGGTAATTCCCAGCGGCCGGCGGCCGGGTACGGCGGGGCGGGGCGGCGGGGTATTACCTACGTCTTTAATCTTAACGGCATTGACGTTCGTTACGCTACTGTTTTTTTGTATTTATATGCGATTTTAAGAAAATGGAATCTGCTAGATCAGCATACAATGAAAATAGAAGTGTATGTTGCAATTGTGGAGTCAGGTTTCAACGCAGTGTGCGAAGACAATTACTGGCCGAGACAACTGCTGATGTGCGCCAACTTTTATCTGTGTGGATTTCTCATGAGGTAGGTATAATATTATCTCATGGAAAGCTAATCACTGCACTATACAATCTATCTACTTACATATTATCTAGATTTAAACTTTTATGAGAAATATATATTATTTTTGTTACTCTCGATTTTATTCCAACAATATTACTATACTGCGGAAACGAAAATTATATATTTTCTTTATTAATGTATTACTTAATATTTTTATTTTTGTTGAATAATATGGGATATGGTACGATTTTTTAGAAATAATACGAAAGAAAACGATCCACAGACTCCAGGCACACATAACGATCTATACATGATTAAGTACTTAATTATTTTAAGTTTTTAAAAGTAATAATAAATATCCCTTCATATTATTAATAAATTCATACCTTCTATAGCTATAATTTTAATCTTTCGTTATATTAAATTGATAAATGATATATTATATTGATTGAATTATTTTATATTTTGACACAAGATGACACTGCATTCTTTCCTGCTATTTACCAACTTACAGGCATAGTTCTTTGCATTGACTCCATTGACTGGCATTGACTGTAAAAATATAATATGGCATAAACTTGTTTGTTTAAATTGATGTAAACTGTGTTCGTGTTAAAGTAAAAGTTTAAAAATGAAAATTCACGTAGTTTTACTGCTTACAAGTGGATTAGTATGTTAATGTCTAATTGATGCAAAAAATGTTTAACCTAAGGGTTATATCATGCACGTAAGTCAAATATTAAATACCTATATCACATTTATGTATATAATTTGCCAATGACATTCGAAAATGCAAACTGACGAGTAAAAGTCCATGTGAGTAATATAAAAGTTTATTTTTTCCTCCTAGAATTTTGTAAAATCTATAACTTATACTGAATTAACCTTTAACAAATGATAAACACAGGTCTTACTAATGTGTTAAATGTTAAAGTATTGAAGTTTTATGTTATTAGTGAAATCTAATTTAAATAATAGATAAAATAAAGTCACACAATATACACAAAAGAAGTTTTTGTGGCATGGTATGATGTATCACATGTTATGTGTGTCTAATTATCTTTTGTCAGTCAATCATAAATCAAAGTCGAAAAAGTATAGGTATATATGTGTCAATATTTATTCTAAGGATAAAATATTATGTAAATAGAAAAGTAAGTTATTTTGTGCAATGAAAAATATTTCAATCCACTGTAATATTACCGTTACAGCCAATTAAACTCCACTGCCGAACATAGGTCCCCCCCCATATATTACTAATATTACACAACTCCATAATACTCTAATATTATAAAGTTTATTTATCACTATATGATATACCTGAAATACTGTAAATATTGTAAAATCATAATATATTAATCGATATTTGTCTTTTGGATTTCCAATTTTTTTTTTAATTGAAAATGTATTGTATTTCAAATAATATAGGGTTCCACATCAAACATTCACTTTCATGCCAACTTCGCTTCCCTCCTCAAAATGTACATTTATCTGAACTTAATATTTATTTACTCTTTTATTTTTAATTCCTGATTTTTTCAGTTACACCCACTTGATGCAGTTTGTTGTAACTGCCTAAGAATATTGCAAGAAAGTGTTGCATCAGCTCACTCCATTAGAAGATTTGGGTACAGGAATATTTGTATTCCATGTGGATCTTCAATGTTAAGAGCACACCGTAGACGGATTGTGCCTATTAACTCTGAAGAAAGAGATATTATTTTGCAGTGGATACCATCACACCAGGTACTTACCTTATTTTAAAAGGCTGTAAATGGTCCCCTGCCTCAAATAGGCAGCCCAGAGGATTTGCCACAATCGCTTTGGTACACAGATTGATGTTTGTAAAATCAGACACCTTGCATACAATTTGGTCTGATATTTATGCTCATTCAACATGGCAGTTCACTAACAGGTTATCTTTAAATTTACAGTCTACCAAAAGTCTACTGCTGAACATAGATTGTCTTATGGGGGGATATTTGCCATTAATAACCAATTTTTTTATTTTTAGTTATTAGATGAACGATACTTCTTCCTTATCTTACACCCATATTTGTATGCTTTTGTACTTATTATACAAGTAATATTTTTTACCTTAAAAGACATTAGTATAAATAAAACGGGTTGGGTTTACAATTCGGTCGCCTCAATTTGAAGATTCTGTTACTGTGGGGGGCGTCAAGGGAGTTTATCTGAAGCACCTACACGCGAGTTTTGCTACCGGAGCAGCATCGAAGTATTTTTATTTATTTTTTGAAAATATTGGTAAACAACTAATTAATTAAATATTCTCACGTTTTTGAAGTTTTATCTGTCAATGTCATATCGATATATAGTACTAAATCGATCTAGTGAATCGATATTTCACCCTAGAGAATCAAGATCAAATCTTTTCTGTTTTGTTAAGATTTACAAAATTATTTATAATTAGTTGAAAGTACCCCAACTCGTAAAGAATGACAGTTTTTCAATTTAATCATTCAATGTTATCTGAAACTTTAAAGAACTTGGGCTTAGTGAAATATTGTTAATAATTCTAAAATAATTACTTCTTGTCTGATATGTGATGTATTATTTATTTCTATTTAAATAAGTAGTGCCACAAAAATATTATGAGGGGAAACAATTGCATGCTAATATTTATAATTTTAAAAGACATTAAAACTATTTAGTGTTAGAAAGATTGAAATAAATAGAACAATAATAAATATTATTAATATTTAGAGTAGACACTGTAAAACTATAGTTCATTTTGTTAGTTGATAAAAAATAACTTTTTTCAGGTGGATCGTTTAGAACGAGTATGCAGTCCTTGCTGGCTGAGGGCTTCCAGAGCTGTATGGAGACAGAGACAACAAAATGAGAACAGGGATATTGAGCTACAATCCATGAATATAGAAGACATCGGTAACATCCCACAACCACCCCCTATACCTGCACTTGTAACCCCTGCCATTTCCAGAGCGGCATCAACAATTACTATGGCTAATTATAAGCGTGCTGCTTCTACTTCCCGTCACTGTATTTTTAAGTCATGTAATCATTCATCTAGATTTTTAATACCTAAACTACTTAAAGAGAGATTGCTGATAGATCACTCATTTTATGTGCCACTGTGCGCTCGTATTTGTGAATACCATTTAAATGAACCCCACAATGATTGGAATAATTTATTCACGAGTAGTAACTGTTCAGATTTTACTGCATCTCAGATAGACAACCTTTGTTCCTTACTTAAAAGTAGTGTTACTCAAAATTATAATATTTTAAATATCATTGAACATAATTCAATATTATGCAAATATTGGTTAGGATTTACCAAATACCAATTTGAACAGTTACTAGTTGAAATTCCATCTATCAGTGAAAGAGTTAAATCACCTAAAAGAAGTCTAGCTATGTTCTTAGTGAAACTTCGTACAGGTGATAGCAATGAACGCATAGCTTCTCTATTTAATGTAGCTTCATCGACTGTGTTCAATCACTTAAATATTGTAAGTCAGTGCTTTGAAGAGCAATTCATCCAACTGCATTTAGGGACAAATACCTTATGCATTCAACAAGTTGCTCAATATAACTTGACAATACCAAATGGCTTGTTTGGTAATCCAGATATGGATCCTGAATTTATGCCAGCCATAGTAATATGTGATGGTACATACATTTATGTGCGCAAAAAGTAGTAATTACTTATACCAGAAGCAAACATATAGTTTACATAAGTATCGTAACTTAGTTAAGCCATTTTTAATAGTGTGCTGTAATGGTTATATCCTTGATGTTTTTGGACCATATCCTGCAACAGAATCAGATGCTTCTATAATTCTTAGACTGTTCAACGATAGTAGTCCACTGCGAACCTATTTTAGAGAAAACGATGTATTTATTCTTGATAGAGGTTTTAGGGATGCAATTCCATTCTTGCAGCAATGTGGTTATAAGGCTTACATGCCTGAATCTAAACAAGCTGGTGAAATACAATTATCAACCATTGCTGCCAACAAGTCCAGATGTGTAACTTTGTGCAGGTGGGTGATTGAAATTGTAAATGGGAGATTTAAACGGGACTTCAAATTATTTCGTCAGGAATATTTTAATACTGCATCTACTCATCTCATGCTATACTTTAAAATTGCAGCTGCATTAATAAATCGATTTCATACGTTGATTCGTAATAATTTTCATGCTGTAGAGATATTGGCAATTGCTCAAGCCAAACTAAACACTCCAAATAATTTAGCCTCCTACGTAGAAATGCACAATTTAAATAGAGTGAGAGTGCGATTTGCCAGCATTAATGGTAATCTTCCAGAGCTGGATAGTTTTCCTCAACTGACATTCCAGGATCTCATTCTGTTTAGTCTAGGAATTTATCAAATTAAACAAGCTCGTAGTTATTACGGGGAGCATGTCAGGGCTTCTGGAGAATATAAAATCGAGGTATACCTGCAATCTGTCCATGATTTTGGTCCAAATAGTTATCTATTGCGAGGTAGGATACAATCAAGGCACACTAGTAAAAAAACTTATTACACTTATATACTAGTTGACACCAACCCATCAATTGCTAACACTAGGGCTGCTCTTACTGGGTACTGTTGCAACTGTTTGGTAGGCAGACGCACTGTTGGCTGCTGTGCACATGTCATGTCTGTTGTCTGGTTTCTATCTTGGGCACGGCATCGAGATGAGGTTGAACCACCTGCATCTTTTTTTAGATGATATATTACTTTCAAGTAATGATATTGAAAATGATGAATGATGATTATTAATCTTAATGCGTATTAATATTGTAATATAAATGATCATTTTTGCTATAGTTGCTTCACTTGTGGCAACCAAAGTTTTTTGTGGTATTCTATAGGAAGATGCTGCTCCCCATCTCCTAGTATTTTTATTTTATTCTGTCGACTTTAACGACACCATACGGGACGGAACGTGATGGCAATTCACGGAAGGCCTCTGTAATATTTTACATTATATCTTTAATTTAGGAGCCATATGTTCGGCAGTGGACTGTTGTAATGATGATGAATAATGATGACTAAAAATTGTAATTTTTGTTGCTTATTTGAACTATTTCTATTTTACTGTGTGCTTTATTATCTGTTATATATTATGTTATATGTGTAATTTATAAATAAACGCCGAGCAAAGTTGAATTTATTGCTTTGGCACCCTTTTTTTATCTCTTTTAATTGACAATATCCTTCTGATTTCTAATAATATCGTAAACGGGCGAGACATTATATTTTAATGATGTATGGGATTTATACTTGCTAATAGATGAATACTTTAATGAACAAAGGGCCGGCACTGCACCTGTCTGCTGTGTTATTTTTAAAAGAGGACTCATAAAACACTGACGATTTTAACCATAATTAATGCAGTGATTATACATGATCTTTGGGACTTATTACATATCAATATCGTATCATAAATAGAAATGTTACCATCAAGTTATTTTGAAAAAATCTTTTAATATGATCTTTTGATATGAAAACACGAAAAATGTTTCTACCTATGTCCGTTAGAAACCATCCAAGCGATTTTGATGATATGTTTATGTGTGTTTGAACGGGTCTCTATATGATTCATATTCACATATGGACTCGGTAGGTGGCGCTGTTGTCGAAATCCAGAAATCACCTGTGCGAAGTCGGGGCGGATCGCTAATAATAAATACAATTAAACTATACCTGTGTGTTTGTTATCCTGGCACAAACAGTTCAAAACATCTTACTTCCTCACAATTTATCAGTGTGTAATAACAGATAAGCATGATATTACCTAGTCATTTTGGTATTTTAGAACCCAGTCATTTTAAGATGTATAATTAGGTATTTAATAATCAACCAAAGCATATTAAAAAAAGTCTTGACACCGGGCCTGTCTGTCTGTCTGCATAAATAGATCTGAATTATATGTCTGAATTATATAGACTATGTTGGAAATGATGATTTACCATCTATAAATACGGTTGCATTATAACTTGTTTTTTACACAGTCAGTTTAAAACATCTTTCTTACTATATAACGTGTGTTGGTAATATTGTAAATATAAATGGATATATTATACCTTAGTCATCTTGAATTTATTCATATTATTTTAACGGTAATTGGGAAGTACACTCACAATCAATATATGTAAAAAATTGTATCCATACCACATTTGTACACAGACAGGCACTATATTTTGCCGTAACTACTAAAAATATTGAAGTACCTGAAAATGCTGAATGTACCTACAACTTGGTTTTATATGAACTATTATTCAACAGTGCACTATTTTAACTTAAAATACCGGTAAAAACCACTATAAATAGCTTTTAGTTTATTTATAGGTTATTTTAAAAATTCATATTTTAATTGTCAATTTCTCGATTTTCCGTCTAGATGTGGTAAAACTAATATTACTTTTGTAAACTATAAATTATAAGGAATAAATCGACATCCATTTCATTGCGTGACGCGAAAATTTGTGGTGGGCCCATTCTCCATACAAAAAATTGATTGTCTCCTTTGGTCTAGAAAGCATTAGTATTATTTTTCCAATTATTGTAAGTCATAGTGTAGGATTATACTGTTACTGTCTAATAAAGTCTACTGAACATGGGTCTCCCCCATAGATTGCCTCACAGGTGCATTTAGTTTATTTTTTATTACTTCCCACTGTGACAACTCCAGCAATTATATTATTTATGTCGGTTTTTCCGACATCAGACGTGATGACTGCCTGTATGTTGTTCTTAGGCTTTGGTTTCATAGTAACTGTTAGTTAATCTGTGATGTAGGGTATCTCGGGAGAGCTATGCTCGAGGTTTCTCTGCGTGATAGACTTCAAAATGAGGATATACGCAGTAAAACCAGAGCAATTAACATAGACAAACGGATTAGTAAGCTGAAGTGCCAATGGGGCGGCTATATAGCTCGAAGACCGACAACCGGTGGGGAAAAAAAGGTTCTCGAGTGGCAGTCTCGGGCCGGTAGGCGAAGAGTAGGACGGTCCCACAGTAGATGGAGTGTCAAACTGGTAAAGCATGCAGGATGACATGTGGATGGATGCAGGTGTCTCAGGACCGTGCTTTATGGCATTCCTTGGAGCAGGCTTATAATCAGCAGTGGACTTGTGAAGGACTCTAATAAATGAATAAAAGTAGGTTGTCTCACCCGAGGTGCGCCCTGTTCGTTCTTGGATCGTCTCGGCTTGACAAGCAGAGCAGGCGGTGCGTGCGCCACTTCGCCGAACTGCACGCGCTCGTACTGAACCTCTCCCCCACCTTCGCGCTCCTGCACACAACATATACAAGAGAATAGAAAACAAGCAATTCTTTGTAAATCAATAGATCATTTTCATTTTTTTTTTTCATTTTTGTCGCCTCTTACGACACCCACAGGACGATATTGAGCTGTGGCTATGCTTACAACAACACTACATGACGGTGCGGTTTGATTAATTAGTATACATTTAATTATCTCTTTACTTTCCTTTTTTAAAAACCTTACCCCCACACTAGGATTTTCTCCAGTATCGTGGAAGTAATTTACAAACATTAATGGACAAGGACAAACAGACCCAGAACAATTATTCGTAGGCCATATAAACGCTTGTTCCGTGCGGGATTCAAATTTGCAGCCCTCAACCCAAGCTAAGCCACTAAGTCGCGGAGCGCAAAATTTCAAAAATAAATTCATATTATTAAAAGCGTAGTAAGTTTCTAAATGGTGTGTGTACCTATTTTTGTCGCCTAGCGGCAAAGCGAAACCTGATGTGTTGAATAACAGGCTGTGAGGAGGCACTCCATCTTAGTCCTCCAAGGTGATAATTCGTCTGTAGCCTGCTTCGTCTGATGTTTGTTGCAGGTGTCCATGGCTACACTTGCCACTTATAATCAGGTGGACTGTTTGTCTGTGTCTGTGTTATGTCTTTATCACTTAATCTTATAACAAAAATGCAAATAGTATGTTTCTAGTAATATGACAACCAAACCTCCAAAGCTTTGTCCCTCTGGGCTTTTCTCTTTAGAGCTAGTTTCTGCGCACGACTCAGTTTTGGTGTGGTCTCCTGATCATTGTCCGTTGCAACCATTTTCTTTTGTTTCTTTTTGCGTCTGGCTCGTTGTAAAGCCATCTGCTCTCCTTTTACATCTTCTGCATCAATATCTTGCTAAGTAGAAATTTTATAATAATGAGATTGAATTTTCCACATTTTGATAACATCAATGTCACAACAAAATACTTTAATCTGTGTAATAATTGGATGACAAGCACGTTATAACACCCTTTTTTAACAACACGATTTTATCCAATTTGTTCTTTAAGGCGTTCAATGTTATCACATTTTGCAGTCATTTCCAATTTACAACAAAAAAAAAACAACCAAAAAAACCAACACGATTTATAATAAAATTCTTCATGGGATTCCACTTGGTTGCCCTATGGCGAGTTTAAGTTGATATCTTTATTTTATTATTATATACTAAATTAATGAGATCTTTTTATGCACGTAATATGGCTCCTGGTTATCAGAAATAAATGAATTTTGATTAAATTTAACTTAGTTTTTAAACAAAAGAAATATATTTGTAGCATTATAAATAGACTATAATCAAAACCATCTGTCCCTTTCATCCATCACAGCCTATAAAAGGCCACTGCTGTACATGGCCCTCCCTCACAGGGTGTATCTTGTCATTGTCGACTCGCTTGGCGAGCGGGCTATCAGCTGCAGTTTAGTGATGTTGTCAGGAGGTGCTGCAGCCCATCACTTGTTGTCAGGAGGTGCTGCAGCCATCACTTGTTGTCAGGAGGTGCTGCAGCCCACCACTTGTTGTCAGGAGGTGCTGCAGCCCATCACTTGTTGTCAGGAGGTGCTGCAGCCCATCACTTGTTGCCCGGAGGTGCTGCAGCCCATCACTTGTTGTCAGGAGGTGCTGCAGCCCTTCACTTGTTGTCAGGAGGTGCTGCAGCCCATCACTTGTTGTCAGGAGGTGCTGCAGCCCATCACTTGTTGTCAGGAGGTGCTGCAGCCCATCACTTGTTGTCAGGAGGTGCTGCAGCCCATCACTTGTTGTCAGGAGGTGCTGCAGCCCACCACTTGTTGTCAGGAGGTGCTGCAGCCCATCACTTGTTGTCAGGAGGTGCTGCAGCCCATCACTTGTTGTCAGGAGGTGCTGCAGCCCATCACTTGTTGTCAGGAGGTGCTGCAGCCCATCACTTGTTGTCAGGAGGTGCTGCAGCCCATCACTTGTTGTCAGGAGGTGCTGCAGCCCATCACTTGTTGTCAGGAGGTGCTGCAGCCCATCACTTGTTGTCAGGAGTGCTGCAGCCCATCACTTGTTGTCAGGAGGTGCTGCAGCCCATCACTTGTTGTCAGGAGGTGCTGCAGCCCATCACTTGTTGTCAGGAGGTGCTGCAGCCCATCACTTGTTGTCAGGAGGTGCTGCAGCCCATCACTTGTTGTCAGGAGGTGCTGCAGCCCATCACTTGTTGTCAGGAGGTGCTGCAGCCCACCACTTGTTGTCAGGAGGTGCTGCAGCCCATCACTTGTTGTCAGGAGGTGCTGCAGCCCACCACTTGTTGTCAGGAGGTGCTGCAGCCCATCACTTGTTGTCAGGAGGTGCTGCAGCCCATCACTTGTTGTCAGGAGGTGCTGCAGCCCATCACTTGTTGTCAGGAGGTGCTGCAGCCCACCACTTGTTGTCAGGAGGTGCTGCAGCCCACCACTTGTTGTCAGGAGGTGCTGCAATTGCAGCCCATCACTTGTTGTCAGGAGGTGCTGCAGCCCATCACTTGTTGTCAGGAGGTGCTGCAGCCCACCACTTGTTGTCAGGAGGTGCTGCAGCCCATCACTTGTTGTCAGGAGGTGCTGCAGCCCACCACTTGTTGTCAGGAGGTGCTGCAGCCCACCACTTGTTGTCAGGAGGTGCTGCAGCCCACCACTTGTTGTCAGGAGGTGCTGCAGCCCATCACTTGTTGTCGAGGAGGTGCTGCAGCCCATCACTTGTTGTCAGGAGGTGCTGCAGCCCATCACTTGTTGTCAGGAGGTGCTGCAGCCCATCACTTGTTGTCAGGAGGTGCTGCAGCCCATCACTTGTTGTCAGGAGGTGCTGCAGCCCATCACTTGTTGTCAGGAGGTGCTGCAGCCCATCACTTGTTGTCAGGAGGTGCTGCAGCCCATCACTTGTTGTCAGGAGTGTGCTGCAGCCCATCACTTGTTGTCAGGAGGTGCTGCAGCCCATCACTTGTTGTCAGGAGGTGCTGCAGCCCATCACTTGTTGTCAGGAGGTGCTGCAGCCCATCACTTGTTGCTCAGGAGGGGTGCGCACACTGGCTTCCATCACTTGTTGTCAGATGCATGCAGCCCATCCACTTGTTGCCAGGAGGTGCTGCAGCCCATCACTTGTTGTCAGGAGGTGCTGCAGCCCATCACTTGTTGTCAGGAGGTGCTGCAGCCCATCACTTGTTGTCAGGAGGTGCTGCAGCCCATCACTTGTTGTCAGGAGGTGCTGCAGCCCACCACTTGTTGTCAGGAGGTGCTGCAGCCCATCACTTGTTGTCAGGAGGTGCTGCAGCCCACCACTTGTTGTCAGGAGGTGCTGCAGCCCATCACTTGTTGTCAGGAGGTGCTGCAGCCCATCACTTGTTGTCAGGAGGTGCTGCAGCCCATCACTTGTTGTCAGGAGGTGCTGCAGCCCATCACTTGTTGTCAGGAGGTGCTGCAGCCCATCACTTGTTGTCAGGAGGTGCTGCAGCCCATCACTTGTTGTCAGGAGGTGCTGCAGCCCACCACTTGTTGTCAGGAGGTGCTGCAGCCCATCACTTGTTGTCAGGAGGTGCTGCAGCCCACCACTTGTTGTCAGGAGGTGCTGCAGCCCATCACTTGTTGTCAGGAGGTGCTGCAGCCCATCACTTGTTGTCAGGAGGTGCTGCAGCCCATCACTTGTTGTCAGGAGGTGCTGCAGCCCATCACTTGTTGTCAGGAGGTGCTGCAGCCCATCACTTGTTGTCAGGAGGTGCTGCAGCCCATCACTTGTTGTCAGGAGGTGCTGCAGCCCATCACTTGTTGTCAGGAGGTGCTGCAGCCCATCACTTGTTGTCAGGAGGTGCTGCAGCCCATCACTTGTTGTCAGGAGGTGCTGCAGCCCATCACTTGTTGTCAGGGAGGTGCTGCAGCCCATCACTTGTTGTCAGGAGGTGCTGCAGCCCATCACTTGTTGTCAGGAGGTGCTGCAGCCCATCGTTGTCAGGGGGCTGCAGCCCATCACTTGTTTCAATTTCTATCTGCCGCTTCTTGTGCCACTCATGAGATGTTATGAGGTAGTGGATATTCTCAACTAAGTATATGTACTGTTATCTTACAATATATATATGATTATAAAATGTTTATTTCAGTGCTTCTCTTATCTGCTTGTCATCTTAAGTGGGTTTTTTTTTCTAAAATATTAATTATACTATTTTAGAAAATCAATACATACAGGGTAATCTTCTTCTAGTGCTGGATTGTGTAAAGCTTTTATTGCACTATTAATTCGTAAGGAGAACCCTCGTCCTGATTCACCTGGCAGTTTCTGTAATTTGGCAATTGGATTATCATGGTACAAGCTCATGCTTTCGCTGTCTGAAAAAAAAAATATTGTCTTCAGCAAATGCAAATAAACATCACAAAGGTAATTAAAAGTGTAAAGTTCACAATTACATGTAGAAACTCCATCCCCTACTAACTAACAGTTTAATATATTTTATTACAACTAGATAGATGGTTAGTTAGACTGATAGTCATTGGCCTCTACTGCCATACATCATATACATTATTGACATCATTGTGGCATTCCTTAGAGGCCTTTGTTCACCAATAGAATGTAATGATGATGATGATGATGATGACCAATCTGATGATCTACTTACCATCAGGTAGACTTTGTGCATGTTTGTGACCTTTTTAATCTATAAAAAAGAACTCTGTCTGTTTGTTACCTTTTAAGGACTAAGCTACTGAACCAATAATGAAATTTGACAAAGAGGTGGCTTGGGACCTAGAGAAGGAACACTCTCACTTAGAAACCTCAAAACAAGATGTAACAGACTAAATATCAGACATTAGTAGGATTAATACGACCTAACTACAATATCAAAGACCATATCAAAGAAAAAAATTGGGGAGTAGCTGTAATGTGGACACGGCCATGTGTTACGTGAATATGTGAACATAACAAAATGATCTCAAAATGGCGGCGCCGCCTCCTCCACTGCGCGGTATGCTTCACAGTCCTCACTCAATGTTATTAGTTCTTAAATCCTTTATCCTATTGCAAGGCGTGAAGAGTGCAAGCCTTGCAATACATAACGCAGTATTGGTACCGACTTTGTTATATGGCAGCGAAACCTGGGTATGCCAGAAGAAGCATAAAAGCAAGTTGAATGCAGTGGAGATGCGATCTCTTCGTAAAATGTGTGGCGTTACCATAGCCGATCGAAAGCAAAACTAAGAGATTCGTAATATGGCAGGATTGAAAGATGACCTTATCACAAAAATTGATAGGGGTGTACTCCAATGGTTTCGGCACGTTGAGCGAATGAGTGAAGACCGAATGGTGAAGAAAATATATAGAGCGTAAGTAAATATTAAAAATTGTCGAGGTAGACCGAGACTAATTTTCGAAGACCATGTGTGCAAATTGCTTGAAGAGGGGAAGGTCAAGAGTACTCGGATACCTAGACGTGCATGTATGAAGAAGTTAATGAACCTGAAAGAAGCGAAAGATGTAAGCATTGTGACACTTGGCGATCTGTTCTCTCTGGCTACCCCGTTAGGGATTGTGCGTGAAGATAAGTAAGTAAGTAAGTTAAATCCTTTAGATTTTGAGAGATGTAATTAAATTTTGAATGTAGATGATATTTATGTAACTGCAACACCAAACTGTATCCCCAATTTTATTAGCATCAGTTTTTTAATTGCCTCTGGCTATGGAAAATTGATGACTTTAACATCAAAAACTGTCATCAAATGGACAACATTTATTTCTTGGATTCCGTAAGAGTTATTCTTTTAATAAAGCTTATCAAACAAATGAAATATTCAATTATTTCTAACCCGATTAATTAATCTGAGACTTGATAAATCAGCCTCATATTGAATTCTAATGGACAATTAAGCTTTTCATTCCAAACAGAAGGTTTCATTATAATATAATATGTAGCAGAATTTTGATATAGTCAGGATTATGATCAAAATTTTAGCAATTTAGTCAAAAACCAGAATATGACAAAATCGAGACACAACATTATTCCCAAGCAGATTAAGCATTTTGTTTTGTTTATGATGATGATAAACGAAACAAATTTCTGCAGATTAGGGTTTGGTAATTCCCGACAACTTCAAAGTCCCGGGTCACGAGACAGTCTACTATTAAAGTCTCGGGAATTCCCGGACTTTATATATATATAAAGCCATATCCGAAGAATTTTAATTGAGTTAATTTCTGATGAAACATATTAAAAAGGGCAATTTTTGTAAAAATCAACATTTATTAAACAGAAAATTAAATCTTAATAAGTTTAACGTTACTTTCAGTCTTAATAATTGCTTTGTTTATTTCTTTTAATCATACACAGCTTCACTTTTAAGTAGTTAAATCTTATAGTTATAAAACAAACTTAGTTAAAAATTCTAATTATTAATACTTTACAATTATCTAGTAATTCTAGAATCTAATTATTGGTCATAATCACAACATTGTTAATTCTCATAATTACAGATTTTATTTCATAATTAAATAACCTAAATATAAATAATAAAACAGACTTATAAATCAGACTTTCTAATAATCAACTAACACACTAATTAGACTCCTTTGCTGATTTAATAAAATATGCTTTTAAAAAATCAGAGCAACAATAGCTTTGTCCGACAATCTGTTTCTGATTTTTGTAATTGACAATTGACAAGGAGAACATACACTCTCGTTTTCAACAGATGTCTGTTTAATTGTGTTTAAGGCTTTATACAGTAATTCCAAACTTTCTGTGCATTTTCCAGTTGCTTCAAACAATTGAAATTCCTTTTTTAATTTAACTAAGAGATGGTGATAGGCTCCTTAAATTATTTTAAAATAAAAACGATAACATAACAATTTTGACAGTCTTGTCTCGTCTCGTGTCTCGGGACTTTCGGGTTGACAACTAAAATTATTACTAAAATTATGAAAATTCGAGAAACAAGATGTCCCGGGACCCAAACCATACTGCAGATCCTTTATCATATTAACATAAAAGGTCTTATTATGAATAATGTAATACTATAATTAGTTTGTCTTTCTATAATTCTTGGGAGCACCAATGCATTCTTATCGAGAAGCCTGGGTGTGCTTTACAAACAAATTATGTTCCGCATTAAAGGATTTATTATTATTATTATATCATTAAGGTAAATTTGGTACGATTTTCCATTGACGTCCGTCGAATTGGAGGTGGGCGGGGGGTGGGGGGAGGGCGGAGGGGGGAGGTGTGCTACTCGCCCTTAAAAGGAAAAGTTGCGGAGCCCCTTCCTTTTTAAGTTTTTGCAATTTTAATTCTGAGGAAATTTTATTTTTTATGGATAAATATTAAGTGTAAAAAACCATGGGAACCTCTTGGACGGGAAGGGAGTACCCCCTAAGGAAGGGGAACCCCCGTCACCAAAAATAAATAGAGAGACTCATTCAGAGGGATTTCTGTATCTATTTTGAGACTGCAACGTCTCCGGCGCTGCGGGAAAAGCAGCCTCTACGCCTTTGCGTAACAAATCGTAGGCATCGGATGAGCCGGAGCGGCTGAGGCTGGACCAACAAGCCGAAGCTGCAGAGGCGAGGCTACCCCCTAAGGAAGGGGGAACCCCCTTCACCAAAAATAAATAGAGGGACTCATTCAGAGGGATTTCTGTATCTATTTTGAGACTGCAACATCTCTGGCGCTGTGGGAAGAGTAGCCTCTACCCCTTTGCGTAACAAATCGCAGGCATCCATGCCTACAATTTGTTACAGCAGGCGGAGGCTGCTCTCCCTACGCGCCTCCGGCTCTATAGAAACACTCTAGGGGTAGGACAGACTCGTACCACGTGGAGTCGGGGTCTATTGATTCGGTTCCTTGACATAAGTTGAACCTAACCTATTTTATTTGTTATCTGTCCTAATAGGTGGGTACTATTTTATACACATTTTTTATACAATTTTATACACATATTGCTTTAATTAATTCTTAGAAATCGTCAGTTTTACGTTACGTCCCACAAGCCGGCAAAAAACGGTAAACACTACACATTTTAATTTTAATAGCTCATAATGATAATAATTCTGTAATTTAAACATAAACTGTTAAATATATGCGTATGCATGAAAACTATTTAAATGAGTACAAAATATAATTATTTACGTAAAATGTACAATAAAATGCTACTGAACGTGTGACAACAACTTAACCGTATGGGAAAGGAATGTTCAATGGCGAGAATTCGATGTAATCTGTGGTAAGGATTGACGTAAATATTATAAAAATAATTGATTTTCAATAATTTTTTTCTCAAAAAGTATGTGTTTCCGCATGTTGAAATTTTGTGTGTGTTTACTATAGTGTAACCTTTCTGTAAAAAAATATCATATAATCTGAGATAGGGATTGACACAAATATTGCAAAAATAATTGATTTCCAATAATTTTTTTCTCAAAAAGTACGCTTTTTCGCATGTTGAAACTTTTTCTGTAAAAAAAATATCAACCCCCAACTCGACGGATGTCAATGGAAAGCTTAGCCCCTGTATCATAGGGTTATGATCATTGTTGGTTGAAATAAATAAATAAATGCAAAAAAATTACCTTTTCTGTTAAACCGCTTCATTTTATTTTTCGAGTCTTTTGATTTGTTTCGATCCTGGAAAGCGAATAAGCGAGTCAATGATCGTGGCACTGGCTGCTCATCTGGATCTTTAGGCGGTGCATTTATTTTTGTCTTTAAGCTAAAATCATTAGTAGGATTTTATTATAATAAATTTGTTTGTGATCGGATGTAGTAAACGTATGTTAATACTAATCACATACTCTTGTAAACGTCTTGCTTGTTGAACGAGTGGATCTTTGACACCTCTGTGCTTCTTAGCAGGAATCTTACGACCCATTTTATTAAAACAAATACGCACACAACCTAAATACACCAAGTACTAATGTTATTCCAATAAAATATTTGAAAATTTTGACATATTTACATTACACCTGTACACCATGTGCTCGAGATTATGACAGTGACATTGGCACTTTTTATTTAAAGGCAGAGGGATATATAGCCCAGCCTTCTCTGACATATAATTTTGATTAAAAAAATGTTCACGCAATGAAGAAAAGGAGAAACGATAATTTAAAGTCTCTGCTAAAATTACACGTGCTCAGACATTTAAAACTCAAAATCCTACCAGTTTCTACCTGACTACCCCAGAAGGAGGGTAATGTTTATCAAGTGTATATTACGTATATAACTATGCTACCGGCCTAGCGGGCTTTTATTATTTACTGTTTAGGTATTCATTGTGCATCACATGACATTTAAATTTTTTATTATTTTATATTTGATATGTAAAAAAATTAAAACGAAAAAGTTCCGGACTACCAGGGGACTGTGGCAGTACTCTATAGTTCGACAAATTCGATAGTCCGACACCACCTTGCGAAACGTTTGTTGGATTACCGCGGGTCCATTATTTATTTATTTATTTATTTATTTATTTATATGGATCTCCAACAGTTGTACATATTAAATTACTTCTAACACATGCTTTACATCTATAAATAACTATGTACTACCAATTATAGGAGAACACATCATTCTAAAACAATAGCAGTGTTTATAATTTGCCTATTTTAATGGTATTTGGAACAAAAACAAGTTTTACGAACAAAAGAAAGTTAATACTTTTTATAACATAAATAAAAGTTAAGACTGGCATAAAGTTAGTGAATAATTAATTTTCTAAACAGTCGTTACATTTTTTTTATAAAAAGTGTGAGCCCGTCACAACCAATATCCAGTGTTGCTATATTTTTTACACAAACATTGTGTACGCGTGATATACGTGTTATTGGAGAATTCTGTCCAAGTTTTGTTCGAGTGCTGTCAGTCCTAAAGAAAGGACATGGGTTGCGAGGAGGTCTCCGAGGTACGTTAATATTAAATCTGCTCAACAGCTCACTGTCATTAATTTTACCGTTGAAAAGTTTATAATGAAATTTCAAATCAAGAAGAGATCTACGAACTGCCAGTGGTTTCAGCCTAAAGTAAGCAAGTTTATTATTGTAGCACTCACTATGACTTGACGCCTTAAAACGGAATATTAGGTGTTTAATGAGTCTTTTTTGAACACGTTCGATTCTTTCAATGTGGTTTTTGTAAAGTGCGGGAGACCATACTTGACAACAATATTCAAGTTTGCTACGGACCAAGCTGTTGTACAGTTGAAGTATTGTTGTTACCTTTTTGAAATCTTTAGACTGTCTAAGAACAAAGCCGAGCAGCCTAAAAGAAGCAGTCACTATAGAATTAATATATTTATCGAATCTTAATTTGCTATCAAATATCACGCCCAGGTCTCGAATGGAATTGGTTTCCGTCAGGTTTTTACCCAAAACATTATAAGAACTCATTAATGGATTATTTTTTCTTGTGAATTTAATAAAACTACATTTATCCGGATTGAGCAGCATTCGATTTGTTTCACACCATTTTACAAGTCTATCAAGATTCGCTTGTAGATCTAATACGTCAGATTCTTGCTTTATAACTTTAGCTATTTTTAAATCGTCTGCAAACAAATAAACCTGACAATTTTTAAATACACTTACTATATCATTAATGAATAGTACAAAGAATAAAGGCCCTAAATTTGATCCCTGTGGAACACCAGAAATAGCATTGAAAGAATCCGAACACTCGCCATCAATTACTACTCTGGCATTACGATTAGAGAGATAGGATTTGCACCAGTTTAAAAATGTATCGGAAATGCCAAAATATGCGAGTTTTTTAACAAGTATATTATGGTCTACCTTATCAAATGCCTTGGCAAAATCAGTGTATATAACATCTACTTGAAGATTTTTGTCAACCGAATCAATAAGATTGGAAACATAATTGAGCAAATTAGTATTAGTAGACTTCTTAGGCATAAAACCATGTTGGCAGGGATATAAGTGATCTTTAACATGATTGAATATGAATGGGTGGACAAGTGATTCAAAAATCTTTGATACGGTTATCATCATCATTATTACAGCCCTTCACAAGTCCACTGCTGAACATAGGCCTCCCCCGAAGTTTTGCCACAAAGCACGGTCCTAAGCCACCTGCATCCATCGAAATGATTACTTCTTATTAGTTTGTTGATTTATTTTTCATTTATTCTTTTATTTCAACACACTCAGCTATAGCATTCTCTACCAATATACCATTACCACTGAACCACACTGAACCGTTAAATCCCCGCGATTGATTCTCGCCCAGCTGTCCGCGCATTAAATGTCACTACTTTCTTTTTTACGACCGCGCGAGACACTTTCTGATTTATAAGTGTTTGGATACCTTTGACAGCCTCAGCCTTTTGATTTGCAAACTCAAACTTGCATTCTCTCAAAACAACTTTCTTGTAAGCGTTTTCTTAGATGTTTGCGCAGCTTATGATAATGTTATACTTCCGTTGCTCAGGCATTAGATGCATCAGCTGAGCATTCCCGTGAATGTGTGTGTGTTAAGCTTTTTTTCAGGAAGACGTGTTCTAGTGCGTGTAGAGGGTAATTTCATGACAGAGAGATACATCTGGAAAGGTCTTCCTCAAGGCTCTGTTCTAAGTCACCTTCTGTATAACCTATATACCCATGACCTAGATACATCTCTAAACTGTCTGTCCAACATACTTCAATATGAAGATGATTTGGCTCTCTTTTTTACTGACCATTCTTTACCTGATGCCTCTTCTCGATTATCTTGTGCGGTACATTACCTCCAAGAATGGCTCACAGAACATGGTTTATCCATCTCTCCCCCCCCCATCCAAATAAAATCGTGGTATTTTCAAGACGATGACTCATTCCAGAAGTGTCAATCTCTATTGGACACTCATTGATTCCCAATGTGAGCCATGTGAAATTCCTTGCTGTTATGCTAGATAATAAGTTGTTTGGAATTCCACACTTATAGTATATATACATAGCTTCCAATTGCGAAATTCACGCTATTTCAGGAGCTTGGTGGGGCTCTCATCCTTACTCTCAAAAGCTCTTTTATAATGCTTTGATGAGAAGCCATTTCGACTATGCTTCTTTTTGTGGGAAACATACAACAAGAGTGCGCTTAAAACTTTGGATCTCTTCGCATTATAACAGGAGGAGTGAAATCTACCCACACTAATGCTCCCCAGGTTGAGTGTGGTGAGGGTCCTCTCTTTCTTCTCAGGCAGTATCTATCAGACAAATTCTGGTTCAAAAAGTGTTTTCTTCATAACCATGCGCTGTTCCATATACTACACTCACTTAATCAGCTAATTTCAATTCCCCCATACTGGCGACACAAAGATATACCATGCCTTTTAAAAAGCTATATAAAGTTTGTAAATATTCAATCTCCAATCTTCCAAAATAGCATCAACTTACTCTTCTTCACTCGAAGCGCTAGTTTTTAATCCAAATGTTATCCTTGACCTTGGACTTGACAAGAAAACTATTGATCCTAACAGTAAATTAAAGAAAATCATCTCAGAAAGTTGGCAAGACTGGATCATTATGTACACAGATGCTTCAAAGACTTCTCGCAAAGATTGTGTAGGTTTTGCCGTTTAGATTCCTAAATACAGAATATTTTTATTCCTTCCTCTGTGGTGCGCATTGGAGGCAAATCTCAGCCATGGTTTGGTCCTGTAAAATAGCATCATGCTGCAAGCAGAAGTGCTACCGAGCCTGGGCTGACGCATCAGCGTCCCGGGATGTAAACAATAAAAAAGGAGTATAATTCCGCCTCTAGGTCCTTCAAAAGAGTCATTGCCAGGGCAAAGTCAGAGCACATAGGCAGAATTGGCGAGAAACTAGTTAGCCTTCCTTCTGGAACCCGTGCATTCTGGTCTCTCGCCAAGGCTGTCCAGGGGAATTTCTGTCAGCCATCTCTTCCATCTTTGCACAGGGAGGACGACTCACTGGCCCATACCGCAAAGGAGAAAGCCGATCTTCTAGGCTCTTTCTTTGCGTCCAACTCCACTCTCGATGACGGGGGTAGTACGCCGCCGACCATCCCGCGGTGTGAGTGCTCCATGCTGGAAGTGCAGTTCACACAGCGCTCGGTTCGCAAAGCACTCCTCTCCCTGGACATCCACAAGTCGAGTGGGCCTGACGGAATCCCCCCAATTGTGCTGAGGACGTGTGCTCCAGAGTTGGCACCGGTTTTAACGCGTCTTTTCCGGTACTCCTACTCCCTAGGCGTAGTCCCAAAATCATGGAAGACGGCTTTCGTCCACCCGATCCCTAAAAAAGGCGACCGCTCAGACCCGTCCAACTACCGGCCTATCGCCATCACCACCTTGTTCTCCAAAACAATGGAGTTTATTGTAAACTGCCAGCTCATGAGGTACCTTGAGGATCACCGGCTGATAAGTAACCGCCAATACGGTTTTCGCCGTGGTCGGTCAGCTGGTGATCTTCTGGTCTACCTAACTCATAGATGGGCGGAGGCAGTAGAGTCCAAGGGGGAGGCATTGGCCGTTAGTTTGGACATTGCGAAGGCTTTCGATCGGGTTTGGCACAAAGCGCTTCTTTCGAAGCTCCCTTCCTATGGGCTTCCCGAGAAATTGTGCGATGGAATCACCAGCTTTCTTGCAGATCGGAGCATCAAGGTCGTTGTAGACGGTGCAAGCTCCGATTGCAAGCCTATTAATGCTGGTGTTCCACAAGGCTGCGTGTTATCGCCAACGCTGTTTCTTCTGCATATCAATGATATGTTGCAAACCCATAACATTCCTTGCTATGCAGATGACAGCACTGGTGATGCTCTTTACACCGGCCGAGCCAATATTTCTCGGAAAAACGTCTCCGAGTGCCGGGACAAACTTGTGTCTGAAGTCGAGTCTTTGCTGAACAGAGTCTCGGATTGGGGGCGACTAAATCTAGTCCAGTTTAACCTCCAGAAGACACAAGTTTGCGCGTTAACCGCTAAAAAGAACCCCTTTGTCGTATCTCCTCAGTTTCAAGGCACTCCCGGATCGGAATCCTCGGCGTTGACATATCGAATGACGTGCAGTTTCGTGGTTACTTGGAAGAGAAGGCCAAATTGGCCTTTAAAAAGCTTGGCGTGCTCAGCAGAGCGGGACAGTATTTCATGCCGGCACACCGGCTGCGACTTTACAAGGCGCAGGTTCGGCCGCACCTGGAATACTGTTCCCATCTCTGGGCTGGGGCTCCCCAGTACCAGCTCCTTCCACTTGACCGCATCCAGCGCAGAGCGGCTCGAATCGTCGACGACCGAGTGCTTTCCGATCGGCTTGATTCACTGGCACTGCGAAGAGATGTTGCATCTCTTTGCATTTTATTTCGCATATACCATGGAGAGTGCTCTGAGGAACTGTTCGGATTAATCCCAGCCGCCAAATTTCGTGAACGCACTACGCGGCAAACGTCCCGATACCATCCACACCATCTGGATGCTTGGCGGTCCACCACAGTACATTTCAAAAGGAGTTTTCTTCCGCGTACAACCTATCTGTGGAATAGTTTACCACCGGCGATTTTTCCGGACCGATACGACCTGGGGACCTTCAAGAAAAGAGCTTACTCCTTTCTAAAGGGCCGGCAACGCACCTGCAATTCCCATGGTGTTGCGATTGATCATGGGTGGCGGTAGTCACTTACCATCAGGTGAGCCGCATGCTCGTTTGCCCCCTCTTCTATAAAAAAAAATTTAAATTTTAAGTGCTCACCTGAATCATTAGTTGTCACATGAGAATCTATTGCCATTTTAGAGGCAATCCTAAATGCCGAATCTCACAACCTGGAAAACACTTTAATTCTCTCTGACTCACTTAGCAGTTCCAAAATATTATCTCCAGCTCCTTCCACTCTCAATTAAATCCTTTCCTACCTTCTTTATTAAAAAAGCATTATACAATTATCACAAAAAAGGCTTAAAAGTTGTTTTCGCCTGGATTCCAGGCCTTCCGGGATACGTGGAAATGAGTTTGCTGATTCCTTAGCAAAGAAAGCAACACAAAAAGGTATCCTCTCTCGGTACCAAATTTTCCCCCATGACTTGCTTCCACAAGCAGGATCTGACTTTATGACATCTTGCCAGGTCTCTGGGACCAAACTAAAAAAATAAAATACTACGCTCGGGTTCAAGACGTAATCCCATACAAACCTTGGTTTTTCCATTATCGTGAAGCCAATAAATTTACTACATCAATAATTTGCCGTCTCCGCTTTGGTCATTCTTGCACTCCGGTACACCTAGCCAAATTAAGGATAAGGGATAATTCCGTATGTGAATGTGGTCTTGAAGAAGGTTACGCCAATCACATACTTTTCAAATGTCCACGACTCAAGTTTTCCTTGTATGATATCCTTGCCCAAAATATTCCTCGTCCTACTAATTCTACCTGTCTAATGTCTCTTGTGTTATCCCCATTTGTTCATATTCTATGTGATTTTATTTATATTAAAAATATTATGTTGTAACATAATACTAAATATTGTTGGTGGCGGAATTATAAATGTTCATGATGTCTTTTGTTGTAGATTGGAAGCCTATCACAAAAAAATTATATGAAATAAATTTTATGAAAAATAGATTATATTTATGTAAATATATAATATTTACTCAATATAAATATTTACTCCCCAACCGCAATCATGAATGACGAGTTGCATTTTAATAATTTCTAGACACATCTCAACATATTTCGTTTATTACAATGCTTTTACAATGGTGCACAAAAGTCAGGTGTTTTTATAAAGACTTCTAAAAATTATCTGTATTTTTTAATCTGTCATGCTAGTGGAGGGGATGACTTTGCAAGCGAATGTTGAGTTGTGCGGGAGGGGACTTGTTTTTAGTGGCAAACAAGGTCGTTCTTTGTGTCAAAAATTATTCTTGTAACAAATACTCAATTTTATTATTTACGTTTAGTATCATACTGTTAATCTTTAGTAGCAAAGGTTGCAATTTGTGTATGTCGGTGGTATTAGTTACTAGTTTTTAACAAACTCGTCATTCAGAACGTTCCAATGAGTTTGGGAGGAGGTCACAATACAGACGGATCAAATGCAGGAGGAATATTTGTTCAGTTTAATCAAGATTGCACGTAAGTTTCTGATCAATTTGATCAAAGATTACCAATAAACAACAGTAAATTATGCTGCTATAGCTAATGACCTGATAGTTTTCTATAGATACTAAATACAGTGCTCAAGGTGACAGTATATTGCAAGTGCTGATGATGGTCAAGTGTGGAGTTTTGTTACATCGTCCAATTGAGAGTCTTGTTACTATTGAGTGATGCAATATGTCATTGACAACATTTTGGGATTGAATTTAATTGCTTTGAACCATAGTCATGTTTTTTTGTTTATAAAAACTAACAAGGTGATAATAATATTACTCTGACAAATAAGACAATTATTTTTGTTAACATTATACCTTTAAACAGCTTTTTGTTTTGTCATTGTGTATGGATAGAATAACAAACAGATACATATTTATGGATATGAAATTTACAAAGACAAACAAATACTACTTTTTTAATACTTATAAAAATTTTCAACTGGTATATCAATTGTGCAGAGAAGTAATGATTAATTGTAACATAAGTTATAAATATAACTAATAATAATTACATTACATATATTAATATGTAAGATTTCACCCAATATGTTTTCTATAATTAAAATTAAAAAAAAATTATTTATTTACTTGTAATAAGCCAGTGTCAATCACCGGCTTTATTATAAGTAAATCCTACAAATAAATTTTTAATGGAGAGCTACATGGTAAATTGTACTGTCTTAGCATATTCACTCTTGCCTTGAAGACCCCTAGTTAATTTACGATGGTGTACATATGTGGATATTGACAAGCAAGTTAAGGATATAGGATAGTCCTGCCTGAAATAAACAGTCATTTAACCAAAGTTTTCATGAGATTGAATAAGCCGTAGTTCAGGATAGTAACAACTGCTATCACAGAATTTGGCTCTTAACAAACATTTTTTACCATAGGTGTTACAGATAGTGCATTGCATGTTGCTTCTTGTTGTATGTGTAGGTGAAGCAGAGTTAGCTCTAGCATAGCCTCTAAGGCTGCTGTTGGTGTAGTTAGGCAGCCTGTGGTAGCCATACATGCCAGTCTCTGGTAACACTGAAGCTTCTTTATAGTGGTGGCTTCATTTGTTTCCCCTAGATTATAATTGGATGAAAAGATAGAATAAGACAAAGCAAAGTAGTATTTAATTTCACAAGGACCAACATCCAAATCCGAAAAAATTATTTGTAGGCTGTAAAAATACTTGTTCTGTGGGGAATTGGAATCCGCAACCTTCATTGGTGCAACTCATTGCTAAGCCACTGCCCCACGGAGCCACCAATAGCTCTCCAAATAGCATATTACTTAACATGTTAAGTTATTAATTTAAATGTATTTTTTTGTAAAGTTTTGCAGTGGTATGACTTCAGTTTTGCCTAGGAGTTTTATGTGTAGGTGACTCTGTTTCCTATATCTGCTGCTAAATGCAGTGCAAGCTGCTGTGTTCTCTCTGAAGAGTATAGTGAGCCAGTATAATTAAGGCTGTGGGGCGTTCCATTCAAGTCATCTGACAATGCATCTGTAGACTTCTTCATATGAAGTTAGCTGCCAGCGTCCGCGGACTGCAGTAGCCTAATTGAGTTCTTGTTTTACAGGTCATTAGTTGCAGGAAGCAGTAGCGGCTACCACTTGTTTGCACTGACTCCAGACGATGGAGTGGAGGAGATATATGCAAGCCGCTCAGGGCAGGACACCTGCTTGGTGGACAGACTGTTCAGCAGCTCCCTTGTGGCTATTGTCACAGTCGCAGCACCAAGGTTAGTTTATCTCTACTATGAATATAAATAAATCTGTGGTGTCTTATTCAAAGGTGTGCATCTTCTTCCCCTTATTTTACTCAGTATTAAATGCAGTTGTGCACATTAATTTATGTCCAGGAAGCTCAAATAAGCTGCCGAGCAGTGTTTTCGAATGTCTATTTTGAACTACGACTCTGCCCCGAATTTCATAAACATTAAACATGCAACCAGAAAATTTTTTAGCCTTGACACATTCCCTTTTGGTCATTAAATGTGAAAAAGTACTTTTACTTTAATTCTTTATTGAAAATAGAAATGTTTATTCAATATAGATTATAAACAATACTTATTGAAAGTCACTTTTTTCATTTACCTGTTGTCATCTGCATGGACTATGGGGGTCCTGCAGGTCTCGGGCCTCGGGGTATGCCCCCATTGCCCGGACTTTCCTCATGGCCCACCACTATGGGTCAGTCCTAGGAGCCTATATTAGGCTTGGTTGCCACGGGATAAACATCCGTAGTATGAAAATTTTTTTCCCGTAGTTAACCGACTACGGAAAAAAGGAGGTTATCCAGTAAAAGTTGAAGTTGGCCTATCAGCGGCATTGAGGGTTGTTACTCGACTCTCTAATCGCTATAGAGAGGAGTTCTCTTGGAAGAGGTCGCCCGTCCGGGGGCCGTGTGTGCAACGGCGCGAAATCGTTGAGGTGTTCATGTGGCCCGTTGTCGGCGCGGTCGAATATGCCGCGCGCCAGCCGGGCCACGAAGTGGGTGATGGTCTCGACTTTCAGATCGGCCGCTATGACGTCATTCCGGACGTAGCGACCTACTCCGACAATCGTCCTTAATGTCAGAGGGTCGCTCAGAAGCGCGTACCAGGCCGGTGCAGCGTAGCCGATAATAGTCCGCATATACATCTTGTATATCCGGAGCTTGGTCTTGATTGGCAGCTTGGATGCCAGGACTGGCAAGAACGTCGCCCGCGCACATCCGTCTCTGCGGACGACGAAGTCGACGTGCGCGGTCATGCGCAGCGTCCTGTCGATCCGGCACCCAAGGTAGGTCACTGCCTTCTGGTACGCGATATTCTGGCCATTGAGGATCAGCGGAGGTGGTAATTTTCTGAGACGGCGAGTGAGCAGAACGGTCGTCTTACCAACGTTAACGACCATCCTCCACTCGTCCAGCCATGGTGGCAACAGGTCCAGCAGACGCTGCATCCTGGCAGTGGCTATGTGGGCTCTTCTGGACGAGGTGAAATAGGCGCTATCGTCCGCGAATAGCGCCAGCTCAACGTCGTCCTCCCAGCTTGCAGCCTGCCTGCCAGTGTTGGGATGTCATTAGTATAAGCCGCGTACAGGACTGGAGACAGACAGCTGCCCTGTGGAACGCCGGCTCTAATGGATCTTGATGCGGACTCGGCGTCCTCTACGCAGACGTAGAACTTCCTGTCTTCCAGGAAAGACGCCACTAGCCGCAACATAGCAAGAGGGACACTGGTCTGTTCGTGTAGCTTATAAAGCATTTCTGAGTGCCACACCCTGTCGAACGCCTTCTGAATGTCGAGAAAGACGCCCAACGATATGCGGCCACGATTGTACTCTGCCGCAAGCAGGTGCAGCACTCTAGTCAACTGTGTGACTGTAGAGTGACCCCTCCTGAATCCGTGCTGCTCCGCCCGAAGTTGGATTCACGGACGGAGACGTCTTAGCAGCAATCTTTCTAGCAGTTTAGCTATGTGCGGTAATAGCGTGATCGGCCTGTAGCTGGCAGCTCTACGCCTGTCCTTCCCGGGTTTCGGCAAGACGATGACTTTGCCTTTCTTCCATTGTAGAGTCGACCAAGCTCTACTTGGACTCTATTGGGCAGCTGTCGGAGTGCAGCGTTGGTAATCCCGTCGTGCCCCGGCGCCTTCCTCGGTCGCAGGCGGGTTACTGTCCTTCGCAGTTCAGCGGGGAAATGAACCACTCTCCTGCAAGCGGTGGCGCGGGCGACGACAGGAACTCCTGTACGCGGCTCTCCTTCCGTACATGAAGCTCCATGAACTCCGCATTTGCTGGGTTCAGCATAAATTGCTCCTCAAAGTGCTCTACTAAGATATCCGCTCTACCCTTGGCATCGTAACGACGTTCGCCCGCGTTGTTGGTCAGCGGGAAAACGGGAGGTTTGGCTTTAGTTAACTGTCGGTTCAGTTTGTAGAGCGACGCATCGTGCTCTTCCGCTTTCCATATGCGTCGCTCCCAGGCCTCTCCTCTGTGTGTCTGAACTGCAACTGACAGTTCCTCCGATAAGGTGTTAAGTTGCTTTTTTAATCTGGGGCAGCGAGTACGCGCCCAGAGCTTCCTCAACGCTCTCTTGCGCCTGATCTGCACGAATATCTCTCGCGGCAGATCGTCTCGCCTTGCAGTGATCGGGATGATCGTAGAGGCCGCGTGGAAGGCCTCCTGGATGTTCTTGGTAGTTCTAGTAGCAGCGGCCTCTACGTCGTCCGCTGTGCTAATAGGATGGTGGACTGGAGGTCTCTCCTGCAGATGTTAACAGTAGAGCCTCCAGTCGACACGTGTCTTGAATGCTCTGGGCGGCGTAGTCACTGCCTTTAGGCCAAGGGTGATCAGAATCTGGAGGTGCTGTGAACTCAGGTCGTACAGCACTTCTACTGCTATCGGGTAGTTGACGTTCCTAGTGAGCACGATGTCCAATACATCCGGACGTCTCCGTGGATCAGATGGAACGTGTGTCGGTTCTTCGGGACCTAATACGTCGTAGTTGTTGTTCTCCGCATCTTCGTAAAGTTCAAGACCCGGCGGGGTGATCACTCTGGACCCCCACGCCGGGTGTTTGGCGTTTCGGTCCCCGGCGATGATGAGGGGTGTTTCGCCTTCCATTATCGTCCGGACGTCTGAGGAGCAGAATGGAGTCCCTGGCCGGCGGTATGCTGCAAAGATCCTTAGTTCCTCGCCCGCCGCCTCCATTTTTATGCCGATAGAGCGCATTGTCTGGTATGTTGGTAAATCCAGCTCTTGATGGACGATGTCCCTCCTCACTAGAACCGCCGTCCCTCTGTAGGCGGCGTCTTGAGAAGTGATCTCGTCCCTTCTGTACAGGTGGTAATTTGGCAGCTTTATATGCGTCTTTGGATTTAACTTTGTCTCTCCCAGCAATATGACATGTAAGTCCTGTTGGGCGACTGTGCGGAGTTCATGCAGCTTCTGCTGTATTCCGTCCGCGTTCCAATAGAGAAGACGCACATTACTCTGCTCCGTAATGCCGGGCCAGGAGGTTTGCCAGCGCCTTAATTATCGCAGTTATTGGGTCGGTCCCGGCTCTTATTTCGGCCAGGACTTGTGTGCCGACCTCGATGGCAATGCCAAACAAACGTTGGATTGCATCTGCTGTTTCGAAGCCGGCAGTTGGTGTACTCCTATAAGAAGGCGTTGGCACTGGTCTCGGGCGTTGGTCTTCCTGCACTCTTTGCTTATAGGTAGAGCGCGCTCTATATGTAGAGCGGGCTCTATTTTCTGATAGAGCCCTTTCTGGCACTCTACCCACGTTCTTCTTGGTTGTCTCCCGAGTAATCTGCGCCTGTGAGGCTACTAGTCCTGCTGGTGTCGGGGTAGAGGTTACAGCCTGAGGTGGCTGCGACTTCTTCCTGCTCCTCTCCCGCCTCCTCCTTTTAGAGGGTTGCCGTTCTGTGGCGGGATTGGCGGGGGGGCTGTAGAGTCGCCCCGGTGGTTGCCCTTACCTCTGCGGGTTCCACCGTTTCCATAGGTGTTACGGGTGGGGGGGGGGGACTGGTTGCCTGCCCTTCCCTGTTACGGTAGAAAATTTCAATAATGGTTTACAATCATGTATATTACAATTAACAACACAAAATAAATTAGAAATAGCTTGGTAGCGATCACCATTCCCAGGGGTTACTATCATCAATAAATTCCTTAATATTATAATACATAACCCTTTTTATATAAACTTAGTTTGGGGCACAATAATTAATGCTATGATCCTGAGATAACCAAATAGGAAGCCGTAATAAATGTCTATAATATAAAATCTTTTTTGTTATTTTTCCTTAACAAAGCATAATACAAAGGGGTTGTATATTTGGAAGTCAATGATCTCTTTTGAAGGAAGAAGAAAGGTGAACTTACACTCTAATGTTAATTCTATTGTTCTATTGTTGTTAATAAAATGGAACCTATGTGTGACAAATGCTTATGGGTTTTGTCACTGCACATTATGCAGTCAGTGGCCGAATTATCGCAACATTATGATTACATTTTTTATGGGGTTTCCTCTTTGTTTACTGTACTGGTAGCTCTTAATATTTTTCACATTGATTTTATTGATTCTTTTTTAGTAAATAGAGGTCCCGCAAGTGGAAAAGGGTGAAAAATAAGGGGATGAAATTTTCAATGTAATAGTAATTAGTTTGACATTCTAATTGTTATCTAGACGCTATGATTGCTAAATTAGATGAATTTTAGTTGCTTAATTTTATAAAAAAATTACAAAAATCTAAAAACAATAAACTAATTTCCACATAAGTTAATGCTTCAGAGCTTTAAAGCTTTGCTGCAAAGCTTTATTTCTACAATGCACTGTCTTAGTACCGACTTAAAAGTTTTCAGTTATTTAATTGCACAACTAAAAATTTTCGTAAAAATCCACTTCATAATGTCTTTAAAAGTTGTAATAAACGTAGGAAACCCTAATGGTTAAGAGTGCGGAAAGCCAACTCGGAAAGTCGTGGGTTCGAATCCGCCGTTCGACTACTGTCTTGAAACAACTTCTAACACAAGCATTTTAAGCTTACTTGAGTTGTTACTGTTCTTTCTTGTTGCTGTTACTGATAATCTTTTAAAATAAAAAGGATTAGAACAATATTTTGTTGGTGTTTGCGTTGGAAACGCAAAAAAAATCTTCCACTCCCAAAAATCGTATTTTTTAACAATAAGTATAAGTAAACATACATAATTATACAACAAAAACAAAAATTTATCCCTCTATCAAGCCTTA